ATATGATGCATTGGAAATATGTGGACTTAATACAAAAAACGTTATTTTTTAAGTGAAGATAGAAGAACGAGTATAAGAAGTGGGGTGGTAATTGAAAGAAGCGCGCAGTAGGAAAGATTTGCAAGGGGTGAAAAGCGATAAAAAGTTCGGTATAAAGCGGTGAAGTTTGTGAGATGGAATGTAGGAAAACTGCATACAAGCTCGTTTTAGTGTTTCGAGGTGAAAGTGAGGTGGAAGCTCATGAAGAAGTTTATATGTAAAAGTGAATATAATTGTGTAGGTAGAAAATAAACTTGAAAAAAGTAGTTTTTTAATTGAAAAAAAAGGAGCGGATAGCTAAATTTTTTATTTTTTATTTCGATAATATTGAAAAGGTTTCAAAAAACGTTATCAAAAACAGCTGAACTAGCCTAAGCAAAGTGTAAAAATGAGGTTAGGACACTATAAAAACTCTTTAAAAGTAATACTTGTGAAGAATTACTAGAATAGGTGCAAGTCGTTAGTAATAATGTTAATTTTTCGTATAACATTAACATAAAATTATTTTCTTGAAATCTGATGAGCTATAAATAACGAGCTATTACAATATTAGCTTTAAGTTGAGTGCTTTTTTTAATGTTCTTCTGTTTGCCTAACTTGAAGTGAGGGAATTTTTAGTTGTACTTGACGTTCGAGACGATGTTGTATTCATAATCGATATCGGGGCCCGCGGGACCCACGGTACTGATCCTTTCCCGACACTCCCGATAAAGTCGCAACCTCCGCAAATAAGCACTTTTTTATGTTTTATTGACAGTACCAGGTTGACCGAGCTTTAGTTGTAGAAACATAATTCTTTTTTAAGTCGACTTGGGCGGATATTGCTTAATACCACAGATAAGTAGGTACCGTAACGGGTCTATATTATTCGACGAATGGATAGTAAATTTGCCTAACTTAATGTACGCGCTTGATTGATTTGTAGGCAAATTTAGGAGTAAGAACCTACATATATATAAAACCATTTCTCTTCGACTTTTACTAGATGATTGTTAGATTGATTATCTCGGACGTATTAAACTGTATCGGGAACTTAATAAACTTGATTTTTGGTTTGCAATATTTGGTTTACAATATGAAATTATGTATTTGAGTGCTCGGTGAAACTTGTAAAAAATACATATTTTTTCAATTTCATCTATTTAGGAGTGGAACTTGAATAATATGTGTATGCGGATATCCATGTGAATATGTATACATATGCAGTAAATTTACTAACTACTTATGCAGATAGATGGAAACAAACTTTTATTTAACTATACAAAATTTAACTAGAGTAAAAATCAGCTTAAATAATTCAGTTTACTTTTAAAAAGCATCTTTTCAAGCTTAGCTAAAATATACATTGGTGTTTTGCGTTTTGCCTAAATTTGTATGTGTTTGTGTGCACGTATGTTTACATGCAAGTGTGTATGTATATATTTACGTGTATGTGTGCGTAAGTGTTCACAACTTTCGTCAAGGTCATACCTCTCGATTTCCGCTATCCTGGCAAGCAAATTACAAAAAGTTCGGGTTTGGTTTTGTATTGTATGCGAGGTTTCAAAAGAGTTAGCGATAAAATATTACAAAACAGTTAAATGTTGTAGTTTTGTTATGATATTTGATTTATTTATTGGAGAAACGCAAATTAAATATGTAGGTGTTAAAATAATATAAAGTTATGATGATATTTTTCAAAGGTTTTTAGAAAAAAAAACAAATACATATAAGCTTCTACAAAATGGCTTGTAAAACATACAAAATTTTAAACGCACGAATCCGATTCGATGCTTGCTACAAAAATAATAAAAATGTTTTTTTTTTTTTTCGTTTTGCATAGATCAGCGCAAAGCCGTTTAATACAAAAATTTGTGTATATGTATTTACTTATTACTATTGCGCACAAATATGTAGCTCAGCACAGCATTTAAATTTATTGTATTTACAAGAGCGTATGTGGGAAATCAAATGAATGTTCAAATGAAAGCGAATTTAGTAGCAGATACGGGTAGCAAATATTTTAGTAGATTCACTAGCCAAAAAAATTCTTCACAATGGCAAGTTTTTTTTTTTTTAGAAAATGGTTAATGTAGCAAATGATGTTTTTAGTAGAGAAGTAAATTATGCGTCTCACGCATTTACATTCACATTAGAAGATGGCACGCGAAAAAAATTGCGGTTTGCCATGCGAATCATAAAAGTTGATCTTTTTTACGGCTACCACCAAAATATTTTCCCTCAACTCGGTTTCACTTGTCTCCAAACCAAATTTGACAAGGGGTGACGAAAAATCGCTCCAAAATACATCGTAAAAAGGATGCTTAAGAGGAAGTTTTTTATATACTATCCCCGAGAGGTAAAAAATGTGCAAATGACACCGAAACTAGCCAAATATTTTGGTGGATGCTATGAAATTGATAAAATTTTTTAAACCATTGGGGAAGGAAATCGATGTTTCTCTCTGTAGAACGTAGCTTAGTCTAATGCATATATGTATTTATAGAGATAACTGCTGGAGAAACATTTATTTCAGCTGCTTTGTTTTATTCTATTGTATCTTAAATAATATATGATATACTCGTATGTATATATAAAGATATTCACACCCTCCTTGTTAGTAGTTAATTTCTGTATATGATTTTATTTCTCAGTGTATTTTATTATTAGAATCTGTACCAAAAAATATAACCCCATAAATCAGTAAGCAGGAAGGCGCGAATACCTACAGTATTTAAGCTGTCTCATGAATAATTTTTCTTCAGCATGAAAAGTTCTTTTTTTTCATTTAACCTGAAACAAATATATTGCTTCCTTAATAAGCAGTTATTAAGGAGACCCTATTTTAATTTTTGGAAATGTGTTCCTATATTATAATACGCTTTTTGAACGTTCCAAAAAGAATAAGCATAAAAAAATAACACTCAAGTCTATCGGGGCATTTACACATAAAAATTACTATTCTCATTGTATTTTGTTGTTTTCGACTTAGAAAAAAACATAACCTCATAACCAGGTAACCTGATAATTAAGCAGGTGTGAATACGCTTCGATAACCCAGATATCTCAGGAGATTTGCGTATAACTAGTACAATGTATGCACACAGCGGTTATCCGCTCCGGTTTTTTGAAATTTATGGATACCAGTCTGGACACACTGCCAAAGCCTTGGAAACAGCATAAAATATTCCCCAAAAATTTTATGGAGTGCTGCTTACTAGAGTGACCGAAAGGAGTGAAAGGGAAAACTGTACAGATCGGTGTTCATGCTAAATTAGGGATGGTAAAAGTGATATTATTTCTATTTTCGCTGCTCTGTAAAGCTATTGTTATTCCTATCTTTAAAAATGTCCAACTTGAAGGAAAGTTTATCGCAGTTATGCAGGTATCCGGAAATTTATTCATGAGACAGCTTTAATTTTTTTTTTTTGATACATATAGTGTAACGCAAAAAATTACTAAAATTTACTCACCTTCTTGAAATGCATTAAAGTGTCGGCGCTGTTCTCGCACATTTCGGTGATGAGTGTAACGCCAGTAATTAATATGCCTATAAATTAAATGTATTTTTTTATTAATTTTTAAACCATTTTTTTGTAGATTAACTAATAAAAATGCATGCACATTGCACACCGTAATTTGGCACGGCTTAAAAACACATTACTTCTGACCTAGGCATGCCATTGATTGCATGACTCAAGGCGAAATTAAAAATTTAGAAATGCGCAATATCTATGCATACTAAGTAAGTTGCTTTAAGTTATTTAGGTATACCGTGATTCTTCTCGCTAAGCAGTGAACGTGTGGCCGGTAAAAAGATTTCCATCAGTTCTGGTACTCGCCGTATAACACGAAAGGCGCACAGTGTTGCCTTTTTGCGAATATAGGTGTTGGGCGACTTCATTAGGCGCTCAACCTCGCTAGCTAAATCACGTGCCATTTCGGGCGATGCTATGGCGCCCAGCGTGCACAGCGCCAAACCCACCACAAATTGTGTGGAACTATTTAAGTCACTGCAAAAGGCAACGAACGAGAATAAATGAAATGAAATACATGAAACAAAAGCAAATACATAAGTATTTAAAATGCAATAAAAGTACATCTAACGGCAAAGCTTATGCCAACTAAGGCCACCAAGCGCTTTAGGATCAAAAGAAAAGAAAACCATACAACAACAACGTCGTAATTTTCTAGTCAAGTCAAACAATTGATGCCAACAATCCAGGTTATTTTTTTTTCTTGGTGGCAATGACTTTGCTCAACTATCCGGCAGTTTTGGTAGTTCGCATGCAAGCGAAAGTTCATTTCCGCCAGCATAAATGGCCATAGCGGCGGTGAGATGGTATAATGGTGGAAAAGTGCTTACTTTTTGAGGCAATTCGTTATCAGCGATGCACATCCTGACGTTCGTCTAGCAACAGCATGGCACCCAAATAGCCAATGCGTTTGTCGGTGAAACGTGTACTGGCGGTGAGCTTCAGACATTCCAGCTGTCCAAAATGCGCTGGATAACCCAACATGTGGATGTAGAGTAGTTTTGCAATATTGCGGCATCTATAAACGAATAAAATACATATTAAATCGGTAAATTAATGCAGTATAAACTAGAAAATAAAATATGCATTTAAGGTTGGGTTTCTCAAGTTAACTTGGGTTGGTAGTTTATATGTACACTAGTATCAATTATCAATGAAAGTATTACGTTTACCTGCACTGGCCCTGCATTACCTAATTTTACAACCTTTTATTTATTTTGCTCATCTCGCAGAACAACGAAAATGGCTATCAACTTATGTAGTTATATAGATAATTAGATAACATTCGGTAAAAATTTCGCTTGCAGTAATTTCTACATGCTCCGCCAATATTTGGTTTCATAGGGATTCGGATACCTTCCTCATTGAAGTAGTAAAGAAAATTCGCTTAAGTGCCTTTTCGGTTACGTGCACAAGTTTTTCGTGCAAAGAAGGATGTGCAGCTAAGCAAAATATACTGTATACTCTTTTGACATTTTTATATTACGTAAATATATATAGGCATATTTTTGAAAAATTGTCCTTCATTTTGAATCCATATTTATGGTCACCGTAATGATAAGGGATTCTGTGCGAACATGTTGTAATCAAACAAATTTCATTTCCAGCAAGCACGTTGCGCACATCATTGTTCGGCTGTTGCGCATGCATATGTACATATATATATGTATGTATCCATACGTATGTATACATACGTACATACATACATACTGCTCGATCAAACTCATTTTTTCTTTTCTGCTTTGTGCTTCTGCTTCCCGCTAGCAAGCGAAGCTAATAACATCCTCGCATAAAATGGAATAAAAAATGTTAAGAAGGTTTTATTTATTAATTTTTTTCGTATCAATATTAAAAAGAACAGAGCAAAAACTTATGCAGTTTATTAAAGAAATGTTCAAGTTATTACTTCGTTTTTTTTGCTTTTTAAATTGATGGAGTAGTTTTAAATATATTGGCGTTAGAAGATAAAATTAGTCTATTTCTGAGGGGTTTTTGCTTATTGTCACGCCCCTATAAAAAAAAAATATATTTAAAAGTAGCGAACATTGGAGAGGAAGGTTCAAGAAATATTTTGCAAAAAATCGGAACAAAATCGGTTCAGTTTTAGCTGAGCTGTGAGGGAACATACACATTTTGAGGCTTTATTTTATAAGATGTAGAGATATGTATGTAGGTACATTAGACCGCACTAGAAAAAAAAGTTCGCCGTACAACCCTAAGTCTAAATACTATTTTTGTAAGGCCCATCGTACATTTCTCGTCATATCTGCGGCATTTATGGTCAGGTCCATAAGTATTACATATCGATGTTCTTGTTACGAGCAGATAATTTTTTTTTTGTACCACATTTCATTGACACCATTCCATTACTTACCACGAGATCTCAGATCTTATTACCCTAATGTCAGTAAATTAAAGCTCGGCAAAAATCATAATATTTTTGCTAAAGAAGAATTTTGATTCAATGGCAATTAAGATTTTTGTTTGCCGAACGCAATTTCACCTTTTTACATTTTACGCCATATTTGCGGCATTTACAGTCGGATCTCAAAATATAATATATCGATGTTTGTTTTTAATGGCAAAACGTAGGGGTCGCCTTTTTACATTTGAAAATATACTTTAGACGCGAGGAGTGTACGGCGAACTTATTTATGTTTGCTTGTAAAGAGGTAAGGTCTAATGTACATATAGAGTTACACATCGTCACCTGAAATGCAAAAACAGATAACAAACATCGTCGCTGAAATACAAAAAGTCGTAACTAATAAAAAAAATTTGAAAAGTTAGTTTTTCATTGATATGATCGATTTCATCGAGTTTCAACTCCCACATCATTTTATGAAAGAAATAAATAAATAAAAAATATTAGTCACGACTTTTTCCATTTCGGTAACGATGTCGTTACGTATTTTTGCATTTTAGGTGACGATATGTACAGTCGGAGTTTTTCGGGAAATTTTTTGAATTTTTGTGAATTTGATTTATATGGTTTATGTTATAGAATGAACTACATTTTCATAAAAAATGTATGAAAAAAATTTTTCATAACAACCATGAATATTATATTAGAACAAGGTGCATGCTAACTTTTGACTTTGACTGTAAACATATGTACAAATGTATACTATGTAAGTTGCTAAAGCAAGTTGTTCGTTACCGCAGAACTCCACAGGCAAACACCGATGGCCTACCAACTGT